CGTGGTGCTGAGCTTGGTGCTGGGCCTGTGGTGCTGGGCTGTGGTGCTGAGCTGTGGTGCTGGGCTGTGGTGCTGAGCTGTGGTGCTGGGCTGTGGTGCTGGGCTGTGGTGCTGGGTCATGGTGCTGAGCCTGGTGCTGAGCTGTGGTGCTGGGCTGTGCACACCGGCAGGTCTGAGGGCACTCGCGGCCCAGCCCGGGCGTGCCGAGCCCTGGGATCTGTGGTCAGCCTCAGCCTCCAGGCTGTGGCTGCGGCACACGGTGCGGGAGGAGCCTCCCTGCCCGCAGCCTCCCACGGAACGGCGCCTGTGCCAGCACCCGTCGGTCCCGGGCGGGAGGCTGTGGGGTCGGGGCGTTTGAGGAGCGAGGGGAAAGGTCCTGCTGTGCTGGGGCAGCACCGATGGTTTATTCCCTCGTGAGTGCTGTCCCCTAGGGCAGAACCACAGCACCAGTGCCGGGCTGGAGCGGCCCTACAGGGGCAGGGGAGGCCACGGGCCGGGCACAGAGCGCTGCAGGAGGTGGAGGAGACCCACTTGCCCTGCAGCCGAGTCCACCGGCGCTTCTGGGCCCGGCTGCGGGGACACAGCCAGGGCAGGGCTGTCCCAGGGCATTCACTGCACGGAGCCCCAGGGGGAGCCGGTGTCACACTGACCCTCCCGCAGAGGTCACACTGAGCGGGGACGGTGCGGACCAGCTGTATCTCACTGTCCGGAGCTCACAGACCCGCGTCCTCCCCGGCTCCACCACTGTAAACACCAGGGAGCGAAGAGCAATGACGGCGCCGGCGGGTGCTGTGCGCGGGTCCCTGCTCACCCCAGGACCAGCCTCTCCAACGGGGCTCGGTGCGCCCGGCTCCGTCCCCGTGTGTCTCTCCAGCTCATCCCGTGCCCTCCGGCCACGCCAGCACCTTTTCCTCACGAGGGCTCCTCTGTCCCAGCCGCGCTCTGGGCTCGCTGCCCGGCTCGGGGAAAGGTCCCGACAGGAGCCGGCTCCCTCCGCCCGGTGATGTCAGCGCGGCTCGGATCTGCCCAGGCAATGCCGTTTGTGTTTGCAGGATCAGGATCGCGCCCGGCTCCGGCGCCAAGAGGTGGGGACGGCGGCCGGGAGGCCCCGGGGCTGCGCCTGCCTCCGGGAAGGACGGGGACAGAGGGGAGGACTGGGGGTCTCTCCTTGGTGGGGAAGGGGAGGATCCTGTGGGGTGGGCGAGGGGCCCAGGGGCCCAGCTGCTGGCCGAGAGCTGGAGGAACCGCTCTGTCCTGCGCTCTGGGGTGGGAGCGAGACAGTTCCCCCACCCCGCAGGGCCGCCCCCCCGTCCCTCCTCTGGGTGCACACACCCACACGCGCCAGTGACGGCCAGCCCCGTGCCACACACCCCCAAAACACACGTCGGGCTGGCAGCACCTCGGCACCGGCTCTGCCCGCCCTGGTCCTGGGGCCGGAACGCTGTTCCTGGCTCCACAACCCTTTCCGGACAGAGAGATGCCGGTTGGATGGCACAGGCTGTGCTGCGCTTGGGAGGAGCTGGGCTCAGCCCCGCCATGCCGTGGGCACAGCGGTGGGCAGCACTGGAGAGGCTCCGGTGTCTGGAGAGCCCCAGGCGGGTCCCCACATGTCCCAGAGCTGAGACGGCCACGGACACCAGCACTGCTGTGGCTCCGGTATGGAGAGCCCCAGGCAGGTCCCCACATGTCCCAGAGCCAAGTCACATCGACACCAGCACTGGTGAGGCTCCGGTGTCTGGAGAGCCCCAGGCGGGTCCCCACATGTCCCAGAGCTGAGACGGCCACGGACACCAGCACTGCTGTGGCTCCGGTATGGAGAGCCCC